ATTAAATTAATGAGCCTGCCAGTCCCCCAGGGAAGAAAGGAAATCTCCCTACAGCTGTAGCAGCAAGTTTAGCAGGAAAAAACAATGGTTTTTTGCCTCTCTTCAGCAATCTAGCCCAGCTGTGGGGCTCAGGGGCTCCTTAGCCCCCGGCCTGGCGAATCAATATTTAATTAAAGAACTGCCAACCGAATGATGTTCAGTACCCCGAGCTGTTCACTGGGAAAATGGCTGAATCCCACATCTGGGAAAAGACAGGGATCAATATTGTTATTATCTACCTAGAATGGACTGGGGCGCAATTTTTTTCCCAAGCCAAGTGTAACGCATCTGGCTCCAGAGGTAAGGAAAGAGGGCATGTGAGGCGCTGTAGGTGCGGGAGCTTAGCTCTGCGCCTGTGGTCCCAGCGATACATTTTCAGAGCAAGACACAGCAGGCGGATATTGCAAAAAAGCACCCACTTGTTGACTGTGCTAATCAGGGAACCTCCCGTATTCGTGTGACACGTGTTATTTGCCTGTATCTACAATTGCTGTAGCTCCACTGAAGGAAATTATGTGTGTGGAAGCAGGAGGTGTCTGATTGTGATCAGGAAGGAAGATGGACCATATGACTGCGAGCAGAGGAGGGTCAATCAAGGCAGGACAGGCACCAGTGACACAATCTCTGTATTATAATGTGTTCCATGCTATGGAAAGTGTAGGAACCTCTGTGAAGAGTGTATTTACTTACCAGTGCAGTTTCTCTCATCGCTACTATCTGAACAGTCCAGAAATCCATCACACCGTTCTGTCGTCTTGATACAGGCCTCCCCATCTTCACATTTATAACCATTAGGGCAAGACAATGTGCTGTGAGTAGCTGGGAGATGGAAAAGCATTGCATGATTCAAAGCAGGAGTGCTCATACACAAGTTTCCTGTCCTGAACATGTTCCATAGCGTTGTCAAGCACTGCCAAGCCACCGCCATATTGAAACGCAGAGGTGACTGCATCTTGTTCCTGGGCAAAGTGACCCCAGTATAGAATATGTAATTGCTGTTCCTTCCATATTAGAACACCCTGCTGAGATCTTTTGGGATGAATGCATGACAGCATATCACCCACTAACAATGCCGGTAACCAGGGTGCGCTAAGGTTTCATTTTGCACTCTGAAGATCTTCACGAGGAGTAACGGTAGTTCGAACTAGGAAGCCTAGTTCGAACTACCTAGTTCGTGCCCCGTGTAGCCACGCTGCACGGGGTTCGAACCAGCGGGGTTTTAAAAATGGCGGCTCCCCGCTTATGCAAATGAAGCCCGGGAAATTCAAATCCCGGGCTTCATTTGCAAGTGTGGTATGCCTACATTTCCCTCCTAGTTCGAACTAGGAGGGTAGTGTAGACATACCCTATGTGATATAACTTGGCTTTAGCAAAGCTTTTGGTATGGTCTTCCACAAAATTCCTGCCAGGAAGTTAAGGAAGTATGGATTGGTTAAATGGACTGTAAGGTGGCTAGATTGCTGGGCTCAATTGGTAGTGATCAACAGCTCGATGTCTGGTTGGAGGTCAGTTTCAAGCAGAGTGCCCCAATGATCAGTTCTAGGGCTGGTTCTGTTCAACATCTTTATTAATGGCCTGGGTGAGGGGATGGATTGCACCCTCAGCAAGTTTGTGGATAACACTGAGCTAGGGGGAGAGGTAGATATGTTAGAGGGCTGGGATAGGGTCCAGAGTGACCTAGACAAATTGGAAGATTGGGTCAACAGAAATCTGATGAGGTTCAACAAGGACAGGTGCAGAATCCTGCACTTGGGATGGAAGAATCCCAAGCATTGTTACAGGCTGGGGACTGACTGGCTAAGCAGCAGTTCTGCAGAAAAGGACCTGGGGGTTACAGTGGATGAGAACTGACATATGAGTCAACAGTGTGCCCTTGCAGCCAAGAAAGCTAATGGCATATTGGGCTGCATTAGGAGGAGCATTGCCAGCAGATCTAGAGAAGTGATTATTCCTCTTTCTTCAGCACTGATGATGCCACATCTGGAGCATTGTGTCCAATTCTGAGCCCCTGTTGTTGAAAGGATGTGGATGCATTGGAGAGAGTCCAGTGGAAGGCAACAAAAATGATTAGGGGTCTGGAGCACGTGACTTATTTTATTTTATTCATTTATTTATTGTTATTTAAAATATTTTACCCCACCTCTCTATTTAAACTATTCGAGGCAGCTTATGAGGAAAGGCTGGGGGATTTGGGCTTATTTGGACTATAGAAGAGATGAGTGAGGGCAGATTTGATTGCAGCCTTCTTCCAAAGAGGATGGAGAGAGGCTGTTCTCAGTGGTGATGGATGGCAGAACGAGGTGCAATGGTCTCAAGTTGCAGTGGAGGAGGTCTAGGTTGGATATTAGGAAAAAACAGAAGCCCTGGGATGGGTTCCCTAGGGAGATGGTAGAATCTCAGTCCCTAGAGGTTTTTAAGTCACACTTGACAAAGCCCTGGCCGGGATGATTTAGTTGAGATTGATCCTGTTTTTAGGAGGGGGTTGGACTCGATGACAACCTGAGGTCTCCTACAACTCTAACTCCATATAGAATTTTATATTAGAGAATCAGAGAATTGGAAGGGACCTCGAGAGACCATCAAGTCTAGTCCCCTGCCCTGAAGGCAGGACCAAAACCATCCAGCTCATCTCTGACAAGTGTTTGCCTGACATGCTCTTATATATCTCCAATGATGGAGATTCCACAACCTCTCTAGGCAATTTATTCCAGTTCTTAATCATCTCTCACTTAGTCTATACAGCATCTAGTACCATGAAGCCCTAACCTAGACACTACCATAATACTGCTAATAAATATACTTCTGTTTTAACATTGCTACTGCACCAATTGCTCGACAGTGTCTCATTTCCTAGCACTAGCATGGCTTCCACTAGCACTGTGTCCTTAAAGAGAGCTATGCTCAGAGAGAGCCAAAGCACCACTCAGCTTGTGGGAAACAAGCACTTACGACAGTTTATTTCATCCGTGCCATCCTGGCAATCTCTCACGCCGTCACATCGCTTCCAGTTCGGGACGCACTTCTTCAGCTGCTGACATTCAAACTCAAACCTGCTGCACCGGCCCAGGGAGGTGGTGGATGTCGCAGTTACATTGACTACTGGAATCAAGAGGATGAAGAAGAAAATAATCAGCAAACTACACAAGCAATAGAAGAATGACAACCTGTCCCACCCAACTCCTCCCTCCCCCCGGCCCCGCAGCAATCATAGTGGTTGATATACTGAGTTCTTTACTGCTTCAGCTAGTTCAGAATAGGTTTACATCTCCCCACTCCGCTAGATGGCAGCCTCTTCCTGTACAAAGGCATTAAATACACTGTAGCCTCCTTTATCTAAACCCCTGGGGACTCACTGCTTCAGGGGCTGCCGTGCAAAAACACCGCCCCTGCTACTGTAAAGGCAACCTACAAATAGGGATGCTGGCATATGCTCAGGTGTACAGACTTTGAAGTCTGCAAAGCAACCTCCTGCTGCATGCTCCGCCCTGACTACTCAAAAGTCTCAGAGAGGAATATGAAAAGTTAACCAGTTAACCAGTAAAAGCATCACCCATAACGGATGAAGCTTACTGGTTCCAGTTAACCATTAACTTGTGGGGGCTAGAGCAGCTCCCTGCCTGCCAAGGGCAGGGGCCTGCTCCAGCCCCACGGTGGGGCCACCCCATAGGCCGGGGCTGCTCTGGATGCCCTGCAGGCAGGGGCCACTCCAGCGGAGCAGCCTCTGTCCGTGGGGTGCCTGTGGCAGGGAAGCGTCTCCAGCCTGGCCTCCGCAGGCTGGACGGGAGCGGCTCCTCACCTGCGCTCCCTTTGATCAGCTAATTGGTTCAACATAATATTGAAACAGCCAATTGAACAGGATTTTCCATCCCTAGTCTCAGGTGTCTCTTCCTGTGTACAATCAGAGGGTGTTATGGTTGGAAGCATGTACCAAGCTAGTTTGAGCTGGGACAGAGATGTATTTTCTAAACAGCCACTGCTGCCTGGCAAATCCTCCCACTAATTCTCAGAACTCAGGGTGCGTGGGCCAAATTCTCCCCTGGTACAAGTGGATGCAACTTCACGTGAGGGAATGGCATGATGTCTTTTAACCCAGTTTGGCCCAATACTTGGAAGTCTTCTAACATTTACATTTGAGGCTTATTTCTCAGGAACACGCGTGCAGGAAGTACCCAGGGACAGGGGAAGAGACACTCTTACATAAAGTAGGACAGGCGTCCTCGTCTGAACCATCTGTGCAGTCTTGGTATCCATCGCAAACCCAGCTGTTCATAATGCAGGTGCCGCTGTTACACCGGAAATGGTTAGGCAGACATGTTGCTGGGGCTGATGTAGTAAAGGGGAGGATCGGTGACCCTAAAAATAAACCCGTAAGAGAGGATCTGACTGGACATGTTCCAATGTCTGATTATGTGCTAAAAGCTTTTTCTGTTCCCAGGAGACTGAAAGACAAAATCCCAGGGTGTCAGCTGGAAAATGGGGGAGGGTGGGGAATGCATTATTTTTATTCTAGCAGCACAAAGCTGGCTCCCAGAGCCAAACCGAAAGATAAAACGAAGCTGAAGTGAAAGAATAGGAACCCAACTCTGTCCAAACAGAGCTGATGGCAGCCTTGGGACCTTAATCTGGAAAGCCCAGATGCCCTGTGTGACCAGATAAATCTTTCAGGAAAGGGTGACGGGCTCACCTATCTGTCACATGACCGATATGAGATTTAAGGGACGGGTGTCATCCTTCGACCTGGAGAACTAGGAAAAGGGAAAGGCTCTAGGGATTGCAGCCCACATAGAGAAGGAGAATTGAATTGATGTTACCTGAGTTTTCTTTTTAACCAATCTTGTACCCGAGGGAAGAGGCAGTAATAGACACAGAGAGCACCAGCTTAGGGTATGTCTGCTCACAGGGCTAAAGCTGAAATAAGCTATGCAATTGGAGCTATGTCAATTGCGTAATTGAAGTCGAAATAGCTTATTTTGCCTTTTGGCACTGTCTACACAGCAGGAAGTCCAAGAGAGATCACTCTTCCTCCGACTACCCTTACCCCTCGTAAAATGAAGCTTACTGGAGTTGGAGTAAGAAGTTTTCCAGCTCGACATTATTTTGACATTATGTCGAAATAACTGCTTGCTGTGTAGATGCGGTCTATGTTATTTCGGAATAACGTTAGTTATTCCAAATAACCATGCTGCGCAGACATAGCCTTACAGTGTAGCACGCAATCCAAACAACTTGGTCTACATGTGCATGCCCTTTTTCATTTAATCTGTTAAGAAACCAATTCCATTAACTTTTGCAGCATCCTAATGTGAACACACTTAAATTGGTGTCAGTACATCCACACTGGGGGACTGCATCAGTTGAATTAGACCTGGTTTCTAAGCAGATCATATGACATAGGTGTATGCAGATCAAGTATACATACTGTGCCAAAATTATTTAGGGTGCTTTTGTTTTGAGCTATGATCAATGTAAAAATTGAACTTACTGCTTCTGAATTAACGAAACTATACCAAAGACTCAGCAGAGAGCAAAGATACTGTGATACAGATTCAGGGAGTGGTAAGGAAGGAAGATGATGAGTCACTATTTCAAAGCAATCTAGACTGCTTGGTAAGATGAACACAAGCAAACAGTGTATGTCTCAATACAACTAAATGTACAATCATACACCGAGGAGTAAAGACCGTAGGCCATACTTACAAACTGGAGCGGGGTGGGGAGCTCTATTCTGATAAGCAGTGACTGAAAAAGGCTTGGGGTCATGGTGAATTATCAGATGAACATGAACTCTGGTTATGAATCTGTGGCCATGAAGGCTAAGGTGATCCTTGGATGTATAAACAAGGGAATCTCAAGTAGGAGTAGAGGCTGTTTTACATCAGCATTTGTCCCTGCTGCAACCACTGCTAGAATACTGTGTCCAGTTCTGGTGCCCACAATTGAAGAAGAAGGTTGATAAATTGGAGAAGGTTCAGAGAAGAGCCATGAGAATGATTAAAGGATTGGAAAACATGCCCTCTATGGAGGCAGATTCAAGGAGCTCAATCTATTTAGTTTAACGAAGCGCGAGTAAAAGAATGACTTGATCGCAGTCTGTAAGAACCTACACGAGGAACAAAAATTTGATAGTGGACTCTTCAGTCTAACAGATCAAGGTATGACAAGCTCCAATGTCTGGAAGGTGAAACTAGACACATTCACACCAGAAATATGGTGTAAGTATTTCACAGGGAGTGTTGTTAGCCTTTGGAACCATTTATCTGTAACTGATGGATTATCCATCCCCGGCTATTTTTAATCAAGAGGGGAAGCTTTTTGAAAAGTTGTTCTCTAGTTCATAGATCACACTAGATGATCACACAAAAGTCCTTTCTGGCTTGAGAAGCTAAGCAACAGATAACGGAGGCAGCAGCTACACTTGCTCTTACCTTCACAGTCCTTCTCATCAGACCAATCACCGCAATCGTTTTCCTCATCACATTTCCACCGCTTAGGGATGCAGTGGCCATTCTGACACTGGAACTGGTAGTAGCGAGAGCAGTTCGGGGCTTCCGTTGGGTTTTCTAACAACGATAGGATATTCCCATGACTCCTCCAGGAAACAGGCTCGGTCCTGGCTACAGCTGAACCCTGACTAATGATGCCCGATAGCTCATCTAAGTCGTGCAGTCAGGCTGTTTTCCTAAGGAGCAAGCACCATTCCACTATGGTTTTGTCATTGGTATTTACACTGCACCCAAAGCGCACTAGGTGCTTTAAGGACAGAGAATAGAAGCAGCCTCTGCTCCCCAGAGTTCACCAGTGAAAATCAGACATTGCATGATAAGGCAAATGAGGAAGCAGAGGGTAATGGAGTAGAGCAGTGGTTTGCAAACTACGGGCCATGACTCAGTACTGGGCCATGGAATGTCAGGCATGGATCTCATTGCTGCAGGGTGACCAGTGGGGGTGCTAAATCAGGCTGCCTGCTTGTTCTGGCACTTCAGATGGTGCTGTGCCCCAAAAGTGGCTGGCAACAGGCCTGGCTCCTAGGTAGAGTGTGGAGAGTGTACAAGGTTCCATCCTCTGCCCCGGCCCTGAGCACTAGCTCCGCGCTCCCATGTCTGGGAACCTGTTGCTGGCTGCTTCTGGGGTGCAGCATGGTCTGTAGGGCCAGGAGAGGCAGGAAGCTGCCTTAGCACCACCTCTGACTGGGAGCTGCTTGATGTAAGTCCCTTCTGCCCCAGCCTGACCTCCCCCAAAGCCAGCACTCCCTCCTTCACTCCAAAGCTCACCCTCAGCCCCACCTCAGAGCCCACACTCTAGTCAAATTACGTTGGGTCATGGGCATCAACAATTGTCTTCAACTGGGTCATGAGAAAAAAAGTTTGAAAACCGCTGGAGCAGAGAACATGACTAACACAGTCCGAACGAACATGAGGTTGTATTGCTTAGCTGGACATGTTTTCCTATGAGTTCCAGGTAATAATTACTAACCCTGCTCTCCAATATAAGACCTGTGTCTACATTGGACTGGGAATCTGTGCAGCAAACACACTCACATATGGCTTCAAGTCAACCAAAGACTAGAGAAGGACCTACACGATCACACTGTCAAGAACTCAGTGTGGTCATAGGAGGCAGCATGGTCTCTAGTGGACAGACACAGGACTGGCATTCACAAGATCTGAATTCTGTTTGCAGTTCTGCCACTGGCCTGTGAGCAAGCTACATTACTGTTTTGTGACTCAGTTTCCCTAATGGCAAAATAATAATAACGATACTGCTCTCCTTTGTTAAAACACTCTGAAATCTACAAACAGGAAATGCTAGCAACCCCTCTTACTATCACGTGATGGCAGCCCTCCCCGTAGGAACCACTCAGCACCCTAGGGCAAGGCAATGCTGTGAAACTCAAAACCTCAACAGACGTGGGATTGGAAGGGTAAATGAACTTCTCTACTCACCACAGTTTGCTTCATCCGAGTAATCCCCACAGTCATCCATCCCATCACATTTCCACACCAAACTGATGCATACGCCATTCTGGCACTGGAAGTTGAACTGGTCACAGGTCCGGTGAAATTCTAGGTCTTGGGCTAAGAGGGACAAAGCGCAGTTTCTAAAAATAAAAAGCTGAGTCCAGTTGTTCTTTCTGAGAACTTTAGTACAAAGACTCAGAGTATAGCTAAACTGCAGGGACAGGTGGGCAGGGCACCACCACATTGCAGCATGCACAGATGCAGCCAATTTCCTGGCTCCTTCTGCATCTGGCCTGCAAGGACTGGCACTACTTCACACAGACAATGCTGCTAGCAATCTGGAGGAGATGGATCAGCTTTCTGGCCAGGCTGGTGGCATGGAGCTGGTGCACGGGAAGCACTCACCACACTCTTCCAAAAAGCTGAAGCACATTCCTTATATAGTAGCAAGACAGAGAACAAATTCTGAGTGCTAGAGTTTGGAGGAAACATCCTCTGCAGGCAGAAAAGCCCATAACCAACAGCCCTTGCACCTTCCTCTGAAACCTCTGGCACAGGACACTGGAAGAGAAAGGATACAGTACAAGATGATGCACTGATCCAGTCTGGAGCCATGTCTATACTTATATGCCAGAGATCGATCTCCTGGCGTTTGATTTAGTAGGTCTAGTTAAGACCTACTAAATCAAATGCTGAGGGTGCCTCTGTTCAGCACCAGTACTCCTTTGCTCCTGTCGACCTTCCACTGTGAAGATGGCAAAAACCTCAGTTTAAGGTACGTCAACTCCATCTACCTTATTTATATAGCTGACGTAGCGTACCTTAAGTTGACCTTCCGGATCTGGAGGAGTGTACATCTCAGATCACACACAGATGTACACTCCTCCAGCTGCCTTGGGTGGCATTTCACTGAATCAGCTGGAATGGGCTGCGGAAGGGGATGTATGTGCCTACTGGCCCCAAAGCAGCCACTCGCCATAAAAGCCAGTGGAGAGTCCTATGGGCCAAAAGCCCTGCTTTGTCAAACATGCAGGTCCTGTTAAATTTGGTCTATAAGTCTCCCAGGGATAAAATGCAATGGCTTGTGCTTTGGCGACAACCTTCCTGAAACATCAACCAACAGAACCCTGGTTTTTTAATGTCAACAAAGTAGGACTTAGATCACCAATATCCAAAATGAGGTTTGATTTAAAGAAACATACATGTGGCTTGGCTTGTCACGGACACTGTCCAGAAATGAGACTCTAAACCAGGGCTACTCAACATGCGGCCCATGGCCCACATGTGGCCCGCAGCCCATTTGTTTGCAGCCCACGGTGCAATTTGAGTTTACGTGGAGCTCAACATGCGGCCCAGAGATGGGATCCTTTGAACATGGCCTCCATGGGGAACATGCTCCACAACATAAGTCAATATAATGGTCTTCTGTTGATATGCATTTTAGCAGTTAAATTCCTGGACTGACATTGCTCATTAAAAGTGCTGACATATGGGTGGAAATAGGGTAACTGTTGCATTTTATTCATATCAGCAGATCTGACTTAAATGGGGCCTGTGTGTTGTGTAGTCTTGCCTTAATCTTTGTATTCATGCCCATCAGTGTGAAAGAAGCTATTTGCATATATTTGCATGTATATGCACCCACACTTAAGTTGCAGCCCTCGACATGTGCCGTGAGTATCACTGTGGCCCCTGAGGCTTCCAAAGCTAAGTAGCCCAGATCTAAACCCAGCTGTGCTTTCCCTAAAACTTTTGATTTATTCCCTTCTGGCATCTTTTCAGAGCAGTGCTGCTTAGTGGATGGCGCACTGGACTGGGGCTATGCGGATCAGGGGTCTAGTCCCAGCTCTGCTGCTGGGTGAGGGGAAGCAAGTTATTTCACTGCCCAATGCTGCTGTTCCCACCATGCAGACAGTGGTACTGAACTCCTTTGGAAAGTGTTTTGCCATCTCCTGATGAAAAGTGCCTGGTTTTAGGCAGCTGCTAGGTGCTTTGTATTTCTGTCACACTTACAGCATCCAGCATAGTTAGCATCTTCATCTGAGCCATCCCGACACTGGACAATGCCGTCACACACCATGGAGTGGAACAAACACTGCTGGCGGTTCTTACATACAAAGTCCATGTAACGTGTGCACAGGGGTTCTGTAGGAATCAAAAGGAAATGACCAGAATTTCAGCACACAGCGATAAGAAACATTTCTACAGTGCCCAGTGCAATGCGATCCTGCTCCATGACTAAGCTCCTATGTTCTAGGGAAATACAAATAATAACAAGACTGCTATGTGTGCTTAACCACCCTCTCTGACTCACAGAGAGTCATGTATAGTGGCTAGATCTTACCAAGGACTAGATCATTTTGATGAGCAATAATAAAGCTACGTAGATATCCAGGCTCGTGCCCTGTGTAAGGGAGAAAGTTGTTTGCAGTAGGTATCAAGAAGGAATTGCCCGCCACCCTGCCAATAGAGCAACATATGTACATTGTGCAAGGAGCCTCTGCTTTCTTTTGAAGCATGAGGAGTTCATTTCTGCTCCAGACAAGGTCTTCTATTTAACTGGTCCCTCTGGGGCTGCAAATCCCAAGACCTGGTTCATACTCACCGCAGTGCTGTTCATCAGAGCCATCGGAGCAGTCGTGCAATCCGTCACAGTGCTTGCTATTCGGGATGCAGGTTCCATTTGGACACTGGAACCCATTGCACTTTTTTTCTAAAATGTGTTTTAAAAAGCAGTCTTAAGTACGGAACGCAAGGAGGGTTTTGTCCTGCTTGTTAGTGCAGAATGGCACAATCCCAAAGGATTCGACAACCTCAGAGAACCCCCAGGATCAGCTGCACCCTTTGACCCTATTGTCTGGTTAGCAAGGAGGTTCTTTGGGGCAGGGACTACACACGCCAAGGGCCCCTGGCCTGGAACAGGTGCCACAACATACTAAATAATAATGATGGCCAGAAGGGTATGTGTTTAGGGCTCCGCAAATTTGCTGCTGTTCCGTTGCATCTGTTTAAGAGGGACAGAGTTGGTTTCCATTCCGCAAAACAATGGATCTTAGTTTGGAATCACTGGCCCATTTCCCTCCCACTCACCTCTCAGACACGGCAAGGGCTCTTACCACACTTGACAGGATCCTCATCAGAGCCATCTTGGCAGTCAGCATCGCCATCACATGCCCACCTCTGGGGAATGCAATGCCCATTGTGGCACTGGAAACTGGAGGCTTCACACGTATGGTAAACTGCTGAAAACAAATAGAAAAAGGAAAGCACTGGCAGATTCAGAGAGCTTTCAAGAGGCAATGAACTGATAAATAAACCACCCTTCTTTTCTTTTGTTGTTTTTGTGTGACACATTTAAATATATGTTCACATACATACTACTACTACTACTACTTCTAATATAATAAATAATGTTTTGTGGTAGCACCTACGAGCTAGAATCATGGGCCAGGAACTCCATTGTACTCGGCACGCTCCGTGTTGATTTAGTGTCCTGTAATGGACGTCAGACTCTATTTGGCTGGGCTACTGACTGAGCCAGTCAACTTGTGCCTCAGTTTCTCTTCTGTAGAATGGGGCAGTACTTACCAACCTATTGTAACACCTAAGATTGACTGTGGAGGTTAACGACTGTTTCCAAAGCTCTCTGAAACCTCTGGAGTCAGCCCTTTCTTATCTTGTCAGGCCTTTGGGTCAGCTGACAAACGAAATGACATCTGACTCTTGCTGGGACAGCAATGGACAAAACTTGGTGAGCTGGCAACCCCCCATCTACATAGGGGATGGTACCATCCAAAGGGTTTTGAGCACTGTTACCATCTGCTGGCATGGAGGATCTGCACACAAGTGTCAGACCTGGCACTGAGTGTCAAAAAGGGAACATGCTTGTATTTTAGGTTCTCAGAGATATTCTTAACTACAGGTTGGACCTCTCTGGTCCTGCGCCCTTGGGACCTGACCAGTGCCAGACAAGGGAATTTGCCAGACCAGGGGAGGTCTGGGATGAGGGGCACCAGCCTCCCAGCTGGGCTCCTCTTCTCAGCCACTTGGCCTCTTCTCTGAAGCCTCCTGGGACTGTGAGCTGCAGCAGCCCTGCTGGAGCTTCAAAGACCACCGGCTGTGGGCTCTGCTGCCCTGCGAGCTCTGGCAGCGCTGCTGGCTCCAAACAACCCACCGGCTTCCCTGCCCTACCAGCTGCAGGTTCTGGTGCCCCATGGGCTCTGCTGTCCCCACTGGCCAGCTCTGCTCCGAGCCGCCGACAACCTCTGCCACTGGGGCTTTCCAGTCCAGCAACATCGGTGGTCCAAACGTTGCCAGATAAGAGAGTCCTGGCCCACAAAGGTGGGACTTAGGTGGGATTTTCAAAGCTTCCAAAGAGACTTAGACACCCAATTCCCAGTGGATTTCAATGGAATTTGGGCCCCCACTTCTCTTAAGAGTCCACTCTGAAAATCTCAGCCTCAAATTTTACAAAAAAAAATTAAGTAGTTTTGGAGCCTAATTTATGTGCTGTATCACTTCAAATAAAAAACTAGGTTAACATGAGAGAATACTCTTCATTATCTGGAACAGCAACATATGACTTAATTAAATTCCATGCTACTACATTTTAGCCTGGCTAGTGACATGCCCTTCCAGGTATATTAAAATACAACGTCATCTGGTACTAATATTCTATTAGCAAAATACAGGACTATGTAGCACTTTAAAGACTAACAAGATGGTTTATTAGATGATGAGCTTTCGTGGGCCAGACCCACTTCCTCAGATCAAAAAGTGGGTCTGGCCCACGAAAGCTCATCATCTAATAAACCATCTTGTTAGTCTTTAAAGTGCTACATTGTCCTGCATTTTGCTTCAACTACCCCA